GAAGTACTGGTTAGGATCTGTACTTAGGCAGTCTCAAACACGGGAGCATAATAACAGACTTCACAGAAGGCCTTGAGGGCTCTCAGGACAGAGTAAGGTTCGGCAGGGACCGTACTGGTACTGCCTTGTCGGCCCTTGCTGTGTGGGGTCGCAACAGGGTTGATTCATCAAGGGCGGGGCGGGACTTAATTTCGATAGGTGTCTATCAGGCCGCATTAGGACGGAAGCCGTCTCGTTCCATCAGCCTTGCATATTTTACTTATCGCTGAACTTTTTTACTTATCGCATATTAGCGTTATCGCTGAACAATGCGATAGAGAGGATGAACTGAATGGATTAGATGTATGTGTAATGTTCATAATTACAGTAGCGTCTCCGTTCTGCGGGGCTAACGCTTCAAGCATGCGCAGTGATATGATTCGCTAGCTAAATAGGCTGCATTTGTTATACACTATTGGCGATGTATCATAAGATTGGCGATTAATTTTGTTCCGTTAAATATTGTCGTGAACCCTGACTTTCCGGCTTACTTGTGTCTTATATTTAGCGTGATTATTATGGAAGAAAATTTTTTTGTGTTTGGAATGTTCGAAGTCCTATTCATTCCGACGAAATCTACGAGCGCATATTATTAAGTGGCATCCTTCAAAATTTGAAGAACTAGATCCTACATTAAGAACTGCTAGCAAATTTACATGTGATGATTGTGAGGAAGTTTCTTCAAAACAAAACCTACTTCGTGCCCATGAACGCACAGAGCATTGTAAAAATGATGCACCTGAACTCGCAGAAGATAGTAAAAGTTACAAATGCAAGCAGAGCAAGCGGAAGTGCCCGTTATGTGATTTTGCATCTATAAAGGCGGAATTCAAATTTTATTTCACAAGAACCTTTTGAAGGGATGATAAAAATTGTATTGAAATGTACTATTTATGGCTTTTTGCAAGGGTAACTCACATTATTTAACAAAGCTATGTTTATTATGGGAAGTACACAAGCAACCGATATTGTCAATGAAATTCGAGAAAATTGAAAAGAAAAATGGACACAAAATTTCTGTCATTTCAAAGAAAACACATTTCATTGCACAGTGCCATTTAAATGATAGACTACATTTTTAAGCATGCGAGATGCACTGGCAGCAATCAAAAGAATATCGTCAATTATGAGAATCCTAAATGAATTGTTTGAAGAAAGAAGTAAACTGACTGAATTAACAGTAAAAGCTTTACTAAGCTTCTGCAAAATTAATAGCCAAATAAATTGCAGTGAATTTTTCGATAGTTTTAAAAGTAACAAAGAATTTTTAAACAAAGTTCACACTAGTGATAAAAACACAAGTGTGAACAATAGACACTAATGATAAATACTAATGAATAATATATTGAGTTACTAAAAATTTATTTTAACTCATTGTTATTTTTTGTTAATAACTTCTTTATTTAGGCTTTTCAATCCTTCTTTTTTCTTGTTTGTTATATATGGTATCTATTAATTTAATCATAACTAACTCATCACTGAACACATACCAAACGTAGATTAAAAAAGAGGGCGCTGTGATCACGTACGATGGAGGCAGGATCTTGGAAGAGCTCCTGAATTTTCAAAGGTGTTTTCCGGAAAATCTTCATTTATTTAAGAAAATTTTCGCGAATATCCTCTGCATTGTCTCGTTCTCAAGGCCGGGAGTTCTCCTGTACCTAGGGGTCTTGTCTTCCTTGCAATCTTTTGCAGCACTAAGACGGAGCGTTCAGATAAGTAGAACTTCTTTTCTCTAAGCTAAATCAAATATCTGTCACTAAAGTACCTTTAAATTCATTTATTTATTATGATCATTATTATTATTATGCTCATTTTATTATGTTCTGGCATTAAATACTTAGTAATTGCTTTAAATCATGTGGTTCTTTTTTGGTTACCATCTCGTAGGGACGCTATCCTTATCAGTAGCCCTTATCAGTAGTGTTAGCACTACCCATTGGGGCCCCTTTGAGGAATTTCTCGAGAGAGAAAAACATGATCTCGGGCCTCAATGTATAGAGTTGTAGTTTTTGCTCCTCTAATCTATATTTCCTATCTATTTAAATTAAAAGCATATATTAATACAGTGTGCCTCAAATTGATAAAATAGTACACATATAATAAATTATGACCATTAACTTAATAAATAAATAAAATGCTTTTTTAAAAAAAATTAATTAATATTAAAATAAAAAAACTCCGTAATTTATTTACTTATTTATTTTTGCTGATATGTTCTCGCCTTGTTTTGGATTTATGATTTTATCTGATGGTGTTTTCTGAGTATATAAATATGTTGGAAACCGCAATAGATGATGTTACTTAGTTTAATGTATAACTTTGCATGATATTATATGTATCTTGATCTTATGTGTCTTCTGTTACTGTGTCTCAAGGTAGAGGCTAATATTGGTTTCCATGTTAAAAAATAAAAGTTTAAATTTAAAAATTTTAAATTTTAGTTTCCCTGTTATAGCAAAAGTTAGCTTCTAAACTTGACTTATACTGTTATGTGACTGGACCCCCAATATTTATTATTTTATTATTAATTTTCCCCCATCTTTACATCTATTCAGCTTTACAAAACACACTCATTACACACACCTGGAAGACTCTATTTAATGTAAATGATAACAACTTTGACTACACTCATGAACACAATCGTGGGTTTTTTTTTTTTTTAACAAAATTCTCTTACTTCCTTTCCTTTTCTTTCTATAGGCCCCTTTTTTTTAATTATAAATAAATTTTTTTTTTTCCCCTCTCCATTACTTTTGGGCCATTTTATTTTTACTTTATTTTGTCCCATCTTTTTCTTCCTGGCCTTTCGAACTCGTATAAAATATACGAAGTTCCTTTTTACTCTCCTCTGAAATACGAAATTGCCCCCCTTTCTATATACCTTTCCTTCGCACCTATGCTTGATTTTTCGCCCATCGGTGCAGAAAGACTTAGCGGGTGCAACAAAAGACATCTGTCTACTTTGTCTGTCTGTCTCTTGATTAAAAAGAAATCTTTTTTGAAGAACTTGCAGCTCCGTAAAGATTCAAAAAACTGATGGAATTGTTTATAATGAAATGGAAACTTCTATCGCTGGTAGGCGTTGTTTTTTTTTTGAAGTTGCTAAATACGTATATAAAATATTTAAAGTCCTAAATTAAATATGGATGTATTAAAGCCACCAAGTGATCTAAATTTCGAAGGTAATTTAAGCGAAAATTGGAAGAAAGGGAAACAAAAATTCCAAATTTATATGTTAGCGTCTGGTGGTATTACTGAATCACCTGAAATTAAAGTAGCTATTTTATTGCATATTATTGGTGAAGAAGCACTTGAAAAGTTTAATATAAAAGCAACAAAGTACTAAATCTTCTTCAAACTATCAAGGAAATAAGTATAATAATCCAAAACCATGTAGAAAATGCGGAACTTTTCATAAGTTATACAATTGTCCTGCTTATAATAAGATTTGCTTGTACTGTAAAAAGAAAAATCACTTTTCTAAAATGTGCACTTATAAAAATGTTAATGTTGTAAAGAATAATTTTGAGCATGAGTTGTATAATAATGGTAATGAATATATTTTAGGGTCAATATAAGATACAAATCCATTTTCTAAAAATAGAACAGAATGGTTTGAAAAACTCAAAGTAAACATATCTAAATATTTATTTGTAAAGTTGGATACTGGAGCTCAGTGTAATGTGCTACCATTCCCTAAATTTAAACAATTAAATTTAAGACATAAGTGTTCGACTAAATCAAAAGTCACTTTAAATAATTACAATGGTACTACAGTTGATGTAGTCGGAAAATGTAAATTATTATGTGAAACATCAAAAGGGAACAAGGATGAAGTAGAATTTCAAGTCGTAGCATGTGATAAAACTGTTCCAGCTATTTTAGGTTTACCTACATTGCAAAAATTAAACCTAATACAAAGGATTTGCACAGTAAATCCGGATTCTAATGAAAAGCTACCAGAAAGGATATCAAGATTTGTTTAAAGGAACTGGGAATTTAACTGGATATACATATCATATTAAATTAAAACCAGAGCTGTTGGTAAAAATAGAACACTTACCTTTCCCGCTAATACATGGTAACACCTCCGCCGTTATTTTCAATCCCCCCCTTTTTTTTGTCTTCGTGGCCCATGGATGGCGCGGATTGCTAAGTTCCACCTACAGTAGATTTTCAGATCATCACTAAGATAACCCTGTAGAGTCTATAATTTTTTAGTAAAGGCCGTCTACTCCTACTCACCGTCTTTTCCTTCGGATTAACATCGATTGTTTTCTCCGTTCACGCTTCACTACACTTACTTCACTACACTTTATGGAAAATATGGTTTGGTTTATTTAATTATGGCAAAGCACATTAGGGCTATCTGCCTAAGGGGAGGGATGCCTTCGTGGAGGACTTTCTAAGGGAAACTGGCTCGTATACACGTTGCACATGGAGAAAACCACGAAAACGCCCATGCAGCCAGCCCGTTCGCAGGATTCGAACCTCTGACCGAACTACCAGTGTTCAGCGACTTTACCGCTCGGCCGCTGGTGGGCGTGGAAAATATGAATTCAAATAAATTTCAAAAGAAATTTTATAATAGTAAATATAGGAAAAAAATAGCAAAAAAAAACACATTAGGAAATAAATATGAAATAAGGTTAAGTGAATTGATTATTAAGCGTTACAGAGACCTACAGTATTAATTTAAAGCAATTAAGAAACATCAATACGTCAACAAAGAACAACGTCGATTTCCGCATAAGTTTTTAAATCCCCAGTAAATAAGTTCCAAATTTCTTTTAAACATTTATCTTTTGTATATGGATAAAAAACACAGCACATACAATTCGCAGCAATTTACAATGCGTGCCTGAAGCCTACATTCGTCGCGAATCGACGAAGGTTGGCGTGCTGAAAAAATGTGTATTGCGCGTGCGTGAAGCGTAAGGCCCACAGAAGGGAGACGCTACTATAGTTACTGTGTTGTAGATTTCGAAGTGAATTGTATAGCAGTAAGTGAATGGCATCGGTGTTGCGTTTGTTGTCTGTCGCCATATGTAGTTCAAAATCTTTAAAGTCGCGATTTAAAATCAGTCTCTTCGTAAAGAAAGATCTGTGCTTTAAGTGAGTTGATCTGAGTATTTTTGGTTATTCTTCTCCCCTCCCCCTGTTATATCATTTTCCGCGTCAGAATTACAAATTCAACAATTTGAAAGGAATGGATTTTTCACTTATGCATGTAGCACTTCTTGAGGAGGAAAATCATCAGCTTATAGTTAAATTATTATTTAAAAATCACAAATTTTTTCCCAAATATGTTTGTGAAAATACATTATATGTACTATTTTGTCGCGCAGTTTTTCCTTATGCAAATCTTTTTCCAACTGGTGTGAAAAATAAAATTTATCATCTAAATTTACATAGAATATTAGTTTTGTATTTTTTAATTATAAATTTTTGTTAATATTTCATATTACCTTTCGTCAATAATTCTTTCCATTTGTTTAGTTTCCCCCTTTCAATCCTTCCTAAAAAACCCTTCTTTCCTAAAAAAATACTCTTAATATCAAAAAAGTGCATACAAATTGATCAAAATACAGATCATTTGTATTTTGATCAAACAGCAAACGGAATATCACACTGTTTGCTTTTTTTTTGTTACATATTTATCACAAAATTAATGCATAGTTAATTGTGTGATCATGGAAAGTGAGTTTAGGGCAGTGTGTGTTCAATGTGTGCACCATTTTTTATTTACCATCTTCTTGCAGGCAAACATTTGCATTTGTCAGGACCCTCTTGCACATGTCTTTGAAAACTGCCCTGCATAATTGCCTGATAAGAGCTCCAAGTTGTGGTGCATTTGCAGGCATCCTTTCAAATATCTTATTTAGGGGGAAAAAATGAAAAGAAATGGCATGATTTTATATCAGGGCTATGTGGGCACTGTAACATTCAAGAGACTGATATACCATTGTAGTCATAGTAAACATTTCATGTAGGAAATTAATAGCAACATTTGTATTATGTGGATGGGCTCGGTGTCGCATATAAGTTGTGCAAATAGAGATCTGTTGGCAGTTTCTGGCATGCAGACACTTGATGGATACCGATGATTCTTTTCCAGTCGATAGCCAGTGGCTTCGGGTTGCTGGGAGATCTGTGAGTAGTCTGTACAAAAGCGAGCGAGAAACTTGTCTTGTACAAAAGAAATGCACAAATATGTCTTTGCTTTACCCCCAGTCTTTATTTCGTAAAAAAGCATAACTTTTCATTTCTGCCAACTCTTTCAGTTTTTTTACACATCTCCTGGTTGGTTGCCGAAGTTCTTGGTTTTTAGCCTTTACTAATAAAAGTTTTTTTTTTTTTTTTTTTTAATGGAAATTAAATTATGCAAATCTAATTTGCACAGTTTTTATTATTGAATTAACCCTTTAACTGTCAAGTTATTTTGATGATTTATTGAACGCACATTAACTTTTCCCGAGATACAGTCGGGTTTGACAAAGAGATGAAGCCAAAATAAACGTCTCTCGATATATATTCGGGTATAACAATACGATGCACTCAGAAAAAAATTACCCCAAGAAATACTCGGACGTGACATTTTCGAACACCCTCGGGCATGACAGTTAAAAGGTTAATGAACCTTAAATTGTTCAAATTTCATTTCCCCATTCCTAATGATTTTCAGCAGATTTTCTTTTTATTTTAATTAAATTTTATTTGATCTGACTTGTCTTACTCTAACATAGACATTTATAATACTGTATGAAGATTCAACCAATGTTTAATCAGTAAATGATAGTATTTAATTTTGTTTTAATCACTGTTATGTCCATTTAACAATAGGAAAAATATTCAGTGCTTTCACCAAGACTCTAATCTTCTGACTGCTAACTGGATGTACTTTTAATTCAACTGCAAAGTCATGGGGCAGTTTGCACCTAATCAGCAAATCCTGGTAGTGACTAATTATTGTCCACCACTTTTTAGTTTGTGTCACTGTTGAGGGTTTTTTTTTTTTTTTTAGAGGTAGGAGACATAAAAAATGTCTAGTGCCTTGGTTAAGATTAGATATCTTTACATACTGATTTCCAATTATACCTACCATGAAGGTGTATTGTAAGGAGAAACAAAGATCTTACAAATATGTGATACATTACTAAGTTTATCCATAAAATAGTATGTGCATTAATTATTAATTTTATTTTTACCGCAATTAAAAGTACTTTATTAAAGTTTTAATTAAACTTAAAAAAAATGGAAAAAAAAAAAAAAAAAAAAGCTTTCCTTTCCTATTCAGAATTTTCTCAGCATAAATATGTAAGAAAATTAAAAAAGTGAAATTAGCCTAAGAACATAAAATGTAGACTGTGTAATTAAATAATAATATATTTTATGTCAGAATTATTATAAAAAATTGAATAAACTGAATGATATGTTATAAAGTGAATTTAAACCAGTTTGAGGTTTTTTAAATTAGTATTGCTATGCATACCCAAATTTCCAGTTTTTAGTGGATAAAGCTCCAATTTTTTTTATATTTCAAGGTTTGCAGTTCTGCTTTCTGTTCAGTACTGAACTGCCATTATCCTCCATCTTATAAACTGCAGTTTTGTAGCAAATTAGAGTCTGGTACTCCTTTTAGCATTTTGAAGAGGATTTTCGGTTGATCTTTACATTATGGTAACTTGGCGAAAATTTGGCAACTCTCCTACAGCAACCCTCTATTTTTTTTCCCCCGCCGCCATTTTGTCTTCACGAAGTAAAGACATGTTTCTTTTCTTTTTATCTACTGAACACTTCTTCCAACAATCTACTAGCCGAATTACACTTATGCTAGAAATTTTATCAAACAAAACTGCTTAATCATGACAAATATTCACTGCAAAATTGGGAAAAAGTGCACAATACCATACTCCTTACGCGTTTTTCAAAATAACACATACACATAAACCATGTACACGCCGACTTATTTTTACTTAAAAAAACATCCCAGAATTGCACAAAAATGGCATTGCGCACACTCTTCACTATATCCATGTACACTGCTTTTTTCTCATAAATTAGAAAAATTTCACGAAAATACATGACAATTTTCTCAATCTTTAAACCCGGTAAAAAGAACATATATGAAATTACCTGATCGCGAAAAAGTATTTACCCTTTCCAAATATGAACATTTCCACATATAAAATAAATAAAATATCCAAAAACTTTTACCTCTAAATCATCTATTACATTATACACGTCACCAACGAATTCATACCGCAAGCATTACAAATACTTAGTATCAAATATTTAAATTATTTCCATGCACGTTTACTTCAACTTAAACGTATACCAAATTCCTACAAACATAAAATTCACAAAATAACTATCATTTAATTAAAATATCACTGAACCATGTACACGTCGACTTATTTTTACTTAAAAAAACATCCCAGAATTGCACAAAAATGGCATTGCGCACACTCTTCACTATATCCATGTACACTGCTTTTTTCTCATAAATTAGAAAAATTTCACGAAAATACATGACAATTTGTCAATCTTTAAACCCGGTAAAAAGAACATATATGAAATTACCTGATCGCGAAAAAGTATTTACCCTTTCCAAATATGAACATTTCCACATATTAAATAAAATATCCAAAAACTTTTACCTCTAAATCATCTATTATATTATAAACGTCACCAACGAATTCATACCACAACCATTACAAATACTTAGTGTCAGGTATTTAAATTATTTCCATGCACGTTTACTTCAACTAAACGTATACCAAAATTCCTACAAACATAAAATTCACAAAATAACTATCATTTCATTAAAATATAATTAAATTCAAAAACACTACTTAAAATATAAATGAGCACATACATTAAATTAATAAAAATTACCTTACAATCCTAATTACTTTAAAGTAAATCATTGCTAATAACAATTTTCCCAATATACCAAATTCCTTTCCACCTTACATTTAGAACAATGCATAAAAATAATATCCTCAAATAATTAAAAATACTAACTTACCTAATCTTCTTCAGAATCTTGATTACGTGTGTCCGATAAACTTTTCTTCTTTCTGTTTCAGGATCTTTAAAATCATACTTATATTTTCACAGCAAGGTACCAGGTAAAATAAATAACTTAATAAAACATCTTTATTTCTATCTCGCACAACCTTAAACAAACATTTATTACTACCCTTTTCAATACCACTAAATACCCATTACGAATTCACTTTAGTTACGGCCATGGGATCCAAAAATTAACCAACACTGTTTCACACAACACAGAATAAAGCCAAATATAAAATTTCCAGATTTTTTCCCGATTTCCCCCCTTTTCCGATTAAAGAACCGTAATTCGTCCATCAATATCACATGACATATCCCATGATCTCTCATTTCCCTCACACAAAATAATGCGTAATCGGAACTGAGTACTGCTCACATTATTACCAAAGTCCCAGGTAGTGACTTTATCCAGCTACACTGCTATATTCTCATAAATTACAAAAATTTGCACGAAAATGCAGGAAAATTTTGTGAATCTCCACATGCTCTTTTTACAAAACTACGTATAACACGTAGGGTTGTCGTAAGTAGGGTCGCCAAATTTGGCAATTTATGCGAATTTTGGCCTGGTTGCGATAATACGTAAGTACCCAATCTGCTAGCTGAATTACGCTTATACTAGAACTTTTATGGAACAAAAATGCTTAATTATGATGAAGATTAGGTGCGAAATTGGAAGAAAGTGCAGAATCGCAAACTCCTTCCCGCGTTTTTAAGAATTGCACGTACACGGTATCCATGTGCACGTCGACCTATTTTCACTTAAAAAAAATCCCAGAATTGCACAAAAATGGCATTGTGCACACTCTTGACTTTATCTATGTACACATCGACCTATTTTCACTTAAAAAGGTCAAAGAAAATTGACAAAAATCCAATTCTTCTTACTCTTGCAAAAAGTGCCAAACAAATAAGTGGGTGATTCTGCACTTTAGCAGAGAAATTGTTTCTAAGTACTTGTTAGCTAAAATCATGATCGGAATTTTCCGGAAAATGCCACATTACATGTCTCGTGATCTCTCATTTCTCTGAGACAAAATAATCTGTGATTCGAACTGTGTACTTCTCAGATTCCTACCTAAAGTCCTAGCTAGTAACCTTTATCACCTTACCAAAATGTCGCCAAACTACCTGTTACCATATTCTAAAGATTAGCCCGAAATTCTATAATTTTTTCAATATGTGTTAAAAGATGTTGTAAAATTTTCTAAGGGAAACTGATTCGGATTTATGTTATATATGAAAAAAAGCCATGAAAATATAAAGGCAGTTAGTCTGTTCATCAGTATTTAAACCAGGTAGGGCTGCAAGTGCTCGGGAATCTTTATCACTTGTCCACCAGTGGGCCTACATTAGAATTAAATATTCAATTTGAATAATTTTGATTTCGATAAATTGTCAAATTTTGATAATCGAAAACCACATAATGTGTGAATAAATGTCATTTTCTTGCAGAGAGTATATTTATCAAGCAACAATGGCTAAACTTCATTCATCAGTGGCTAAAGTATATGACAACATTATCAAATCTGAAGAAGATTCCAGAAGTTATCGAGGTCTTGAGCTGATTAATGGGATGAAAGTTTTATTGATCAGTGACCCCAGTACTGATAAATCAGCTGCTGCCCTTGATATTCGCATTGGTAAGATCCAAATGATTTCTGCATGATAAATATTTTTCTGTTTAAATGTGATACTATCAATATTTTATTGTATTTAAGTGTCATTGATAATGTTTCTGATGCTTAACAAATTTTTAGACATATTAAGATCATAAAAGATTTTAATATGAGTTGGCCGAAATTGAGTGTAGCATATATGTAATTTCTTTTATGCAACGATACGTCAAAAAGGTATGAGTAGCATCTATGTTTCAAAGATAAGCTCATAAATTCTATATGATGGGGAAAATATTGTTTGTACAGTCAGATACCAAAAATCCACCGACCTGAAATCCGCTTTGCCTCTCAAAATATAAGCATTTAGTTTATAGGTTCTGGAAACCACAACATGGAGTATGAAATATCGAAGAAAAAATACTTACTGGATAATGACGTCATAATTACCAAATAATAATGAGTCATAATGGAAATACCAAATTATTGACATCATGATAAGAGTTTTTTTCCCTCCAATCTGCATCAAGTTAAAAAAGCAGACGATTAACTCAACTCCTCTTTCAAGTTCACGCTTCATGTGGTTGTACTTTCTGAACTTTGTTATTACACGAGATTGTTTAGTGATGTCGTTTTTTTTTTTTTTTAATCCAGATATTTTGTGGATAAATTAAGAATATTTTAAATTTTAGTGCTTTTTAATACATTGACAGATAAGAAACGCATTCGTGATTTTACTGCTTGCAACGTTGAAAAACGTAAACACGTTGCATTGACGGTAATGAAAAAAGTGAAAATTCTGCTAAAGATGGAGGCAGGTGCTACTGCTCGGTTTATAGCAGAATCGTATGAAATTGCCACACGGACTGTGTATGATAAACAGAATAATAAAGAAAATCTGTTGAAATTTTTCAGCAACAGTGATTCTAACACCGGAATCCGAAACCGGAAATCTTTACATTAGGCAAAATCGGCAAACCTTGATGCTGTCTTGTACGAGTGGTTCCGGTAGCGGCGGAGTGATGGGGTACCTATTTCAGGACTACTCCTGAGAGAAAAGGGGAAGCAGGTTTATGCTGATTTAAAAATAGAGGAGCCTAATGTAAATGAGCAATATAATATAATCAGTTTATATATGTAATTATAATTTAATACATATAATTAATTATTCTATTAATGTATATAATAATTTAATTAAATATATCTAATATGCCTTATTTATTTTGCACTTTTGGTCTGAATATTATCTTTTCTGAAATCTGCAAAATCCTAAAATCCGCACAACCTCTGGTCCCAAGCGTTGTGGATTTCTCATCTTCTACTGTATAATCATTAATGAAAAACATATTTTTATACCCCTGTAGATTAATCTCCCAATAATCATCTTTTTTATGATTAGTAATTTTTCAAAAGTATTTAGACCAAAGATTCCTAACCTTCTTTTAATTTACAATACATCCAAAAATATCGGTAACATGGACAGGCATATTTATTTTTCGAGGTAAAGTTATAGGTTGACATACATAGTTAATATTATACATAATATCTAAAAAAATATTTTCTAAAAGTATAATTTTAAGATATAACCATTATTTATTATTTTCTTATGTAAAATAAATAATTATTAAAAATAGTTCAGACAGAAATTTTAAAATTCTTTGATATAGAATTCATTGGTGTAAAAATTCTTTATAAAACTGTAATTCATACAGTCAAAAGAATATTTGGCATTGCAATTCATAGGCTGTTGCTTCATAATTTGGAGAGTATGATGATAGTTCTCCTTGTAAGCCATCATCAAGATGTTCATCTGTAAGTTGAGATTTGTACTTTGATTTTGTGATATTCATTATTGGAAACAATGGTATTACAATGGAAAGTTTTTAGCAAATTGTCTTTCTTCAAACTTGGACAGTGGTGTAGCTAGGGTGGGGCAGGGGGGACATCTGTCCTTGGGCGCTGCATCCATGGGGCGCAAAATTGATGTTAGGAAATTTTAAAATGAATTGTTTTCCATTCTTGGCACACAGAAAGGGGCAGAAATTCTTCAGTTGTCCCCTGGGCACTGAAAACCCTAGCTACGCCTCTGAACTGGGACAATCCCGATCAAACTGGGCCATCTGGTAAGCCTATTTAAAGTTCTAAACATGTAATTATAAATAAATAACTTTCTAAACAAGCATGCTTATATTTCTCTAAATAATTACTAACTATAAAAAAATTGTGCAAAACATTTTATTAAAAACTTAAATATATATATATTTTTTTATCATGGTTGCACACACGTAAAACTGTTGGCAGATAGAGTGTTGCCGCCATAATACAAAACTTTATTTGAAAATTGATAAATAGTACAGATGCAGCATAAAATTTAAAATATGTGTTAAGAAATTTCGTGTTTTACATGCTCTATCCATAACTTGTATCTATTGATTATCTAATTAAAGAACAATATTTTTTCTCTGAACTTTTGCTGGAATAACTGGTGCAAGTTTGACAGCATTTCCTCCAGCTTCTGTGATTTATAATTGATAAGGGATTTTATAATTGGCTTTACTGTAATATCTAAGGCCTATTTATTATGTTGGATTTTATGTATGAAATGCATTTTTTATTTTCGAAATCTTGCATAATTTTGAATATAGGCATTTGACCTTTGTATCAAATATGTACAAACGATAATGATAACATAATTATGTATCTATTATGCTTTTATTGCAATCAAGTATTCAAGTACATAACTAGTATTTAAATGTATAAATGGTATTCATAACATAATTATGTATCTATTGTAATAACGCAATTTTTGTACTCAAATAACGCAAGCCTCAAATAATGAATGTAAACTGGTCTAATGTATGTCTTACCGTAATCAAGCTGTCAGGTACATAACTAATGTATTCATGTAAATTTATAGTGTATCCAATATATTAATGTATTTTATTGATGTATCATATTTCATGCATTTAAGAATTATTATTATTATGTTGTCCTGGGACTCGGTAGCTGCCGGTTCAAGATAGTTTAGGGCGTGGGATAAATGACCTTTTACCTGCTTACCTTTGTTAAACATCAGGTGTCACCTGTATCAAATATGATGACTGTTTTTGTAATTTTAGACTATGTCTATTGAACTAATAATAAGTTCAAGTTATGGGCTCCTACCTCCACTGCGTTATCTGAGTATGACTGTTTGCTTTAGAACTTTTGCTAGCATGACGTTCTAACTCACAGGGCCTTAATAAGTAATACCTAAAGTCATAACTAGCAGAAAACAATGAAAAACAAGTGATTTAATAGTACAAGTTACTAGAATAGTAGGATAAGGGAAGGCCATTTTTCAGTTCCATGAAGGTTTAGCTTAAAGAATTAAAATATTATCAAAGACATGCTTAAGATAATAACAGGAAAATATTTTAGATTAAAAAATCATTTTTAATGGAACTAATACAGACAAAATTAAAAAAAAAGTATTGTAAAATTAACAAAACCATAAGAATTTATGATATTTTTTTATTCTTACCAAAAAGCCATGAACTCGTTAGGAACTAACTTTTCGCCAAGCTAATGTTGAATTCCTCTATAAAATTAAGGATGCTTTTTTTTTTTTAATTCTAAATGCACTTAAAATCTAAAATAACATATTCAATATTCAAGATTTAATTTAATAATGCATCACATAAAACTCAAGTATAAAGAATTTGTGTTAACACTATAATATTTTATTATCATCAACATAACATAATGGAAATTTAAAACTACCAGGTTCCGAACAGCAAGTTACACTCAGTAACAAAAAAAAGTTGATTTATCTACCTGGTTTTTTTTTTTTTTTTTAAATTACAATATCATGTGATTTAAACATTTATGAAAAAAAATGAAATGTACAAACAGTACATTCATGAAAAGTACAAACAGGCATTTCCTAACATCTTGAGATGTGAAGGAAGCACAACTCAATAAATCAAATATTGCAATATTTTTTTTTTATTAACCCATATCTTGTTTTCTGAATTTCTTTCACGGGCACTACAGGGGTTATCTCTTGTTGAGATATTTTTCTATTTGATGGATGATCCTTTAAAACTTGATCTCGTACTTTATCGTCAGAAAGTGCAATTTCCAGTGGGTGGAGACTTTGTAGATGCCTAATGCTCCATCTACTGTTTGGAGCTTTACCAATCTGACTTCTTCTTTGGTTCGAGAAAGTAGTTCAATAATTCATCCAAGAGGCCATTCTGTACGTTTTCGGTTCTCACTTCCAATAATAACTATATCTCCCTCCACTACAGTTGACCATTTTTATTTCCTTGCACAAAGTAAAAAGGAAGTATTGTAATCTCGAAAAATTTCAGGTATCATATTTCAACAAAAATATTCATTTTAACTGCTATCAAATGTGTTAGAGGAGTCTGGTCAGAATGTTTTTCTGAGATACATATGAGGGGTCGAGAATTCATGATGGACTTGCAGTCAAGTAATACTGTGATCATCTCTTCATATGATAAACATCCTCAACCTAATATTCTAAATAAATCTTTCATTAGTCTAGCCTTTCCCACCACAAGGCAGTTGGGGGGTTAAATTCCCCTGAATGTTTACTACTAGTGATTAACTGAACTAGTAATAAATACTGTAACTGTACTATGATTGCATCATAAGAAAATGATTCCAATCTAAGGATTGTAGTACATGAGCAGCTCTAACAAAGTTTGTCCTCTTGTCGCTATAGATCACTGAACGCCTTTCTCTTCCAGCTAAGAATCTTCGTAATGCCGACAGAAAATATTGGTCAACATTATTTTTCTATTGTATATTCTGTTGTATTATTATTGTATTTTTTATAGTTTTTGAATCTTTGTATGGCATAAGAATATTTGTCTCTGTATTGCCAGCTGCATTAGAAATAATTTTTTTAAAAATATTGTGACTTATATAAACATTTATGAAATATAAAATGAAAACAATCATATCCTGTCTTCAAAATGGTGCGAGCTTGGAGTTCCATGCAAGAGCAGTCTGTCGATAAAATTTAAAAAGCAAGAAACAGCAATAATAAAACACTTACCTTTTTTGAGAAAAGCCTCCTTTTTTTTTTTTTTTTTTTTTTTTTTTTTTTTTTTTTTTTTTTTTTTACATTGTTCTTTTCTGTATGTCTCTAGCAAACTGTTTTTGTTAAAGATATGCCAGAGAACTGCGCAAACTGGGTATCATTTCTTTTATTACCCATATTTCTTTGGCATTTTGCACTAGCCAAAACAAACTTGCGATGTAAATACCTAAGAATATTTCTTTTGACCTTTTGACAACATCGTGGGTAGGCGCATAATTTTTTTGCCATTTGGCTGGAAAATTAAAGTGAGAAATAAACTTAATTGCTTTTTTTTTAAGTGTGTTCATTTCTTTAAAGGTAAGAATAAATAAATTATTGTTGATTAGGAGTGCAATCTGTAATAGTTTAGTACCTCTGGAGATGGTTTTTACTTCTTTCATTGCTCAAAAGAGTTCAAGAAAATTGCTGTTTGATTTATTATTGCTTGCTGCTTCAGCGTGCAATTTTGATTTTAAATTGAAGGAAAATTTTAAATTGTCTGTGTTTAAAGCTATCACTTTCAGAGAGAGGGTTTCCAAAGTTGTACATTTTACAGTTTTTGGTGTTTAACTATATAGTGGTTTTATTTATTAGGTTTGGCTGTTATTTGCTTTTGGAATATTTTGAGAAGCCATGACAGGAGGTTGGATAACTTGTTTCTTTGCAATTTATGCATTTAGGGTTTTCCGGTTTTCTTGTGTGGCGGCAATTTATTGATATTTGCTCTTCTGAGTACTTAATTTACTATGGTTTCAAACGACTGTTATCAAAGGAATGAGCAGTTTCTGGCAATTGCAGCATGATAGGACATGTTTTTTTTAATGCATTTTTCGATTTGAACTATGAAGGGAAAAAGTTATTGATTTTATAAATGTCTTCAAAGTTTTGGTAGGTTGGAATTATGTTTGAAGACAAAGCAATAGTGTTTTAGTGTGATTTTTGCTGAGCTGTACTATTTTATGTTCTTTGAATCTTTTTTCTGTTAACTTGCCATTTATTTGTGAGTTGCCTGTGTAATTGAAGTTTCCAGATTAATATTTTGTTTTCAGGAATTCTCTGTTGCAATTTTAAGAAATTTTGCTCGAGTCATTTTAAGAAAGTGTTTTTATATATTCATTAAAAGCTGTGCTGAACAGGGGTCTTAACCATAATGAGTGAAGCAAAGTTGGAGCAAAAATCTGAATTTTGATTATTCTGATTATCTAGGTTTTCATTTTTAGCATAAAGAGTTGCTTGAAGGTGGCTGGATGTTTTCCAGAGTTTAATTGAATTAAAGAGACTGAAACGATTTTTTGTGGCAGTGAACTTGGCAGTTCACGGTTATTAAGATTTTGAGGAAGCAGTTTTGAAAGACCTTTGGCGATTTTATTAGAATTATTCTTATTTATGTCGAAGTGTCTTGATTTTTTCTTAGTATGAGAAATTCCATTACTTTGTGTAGTCTGCCTGCTCTAGAAGTAAGAAATTCGTACTTAGACATCAAGAACTTCATCCTGTGATGAATATCTTCAAGAATTTTCAGAAGTGAAGGTGTAGTAGTATTCAATACAGGGAGTTGTTGATTATAAATTAGCATTGCTCTACTCATTTTTGTATCCCCATCTAATTTTTGTCTAATTGATATTCAGTAGTTCCAGTGTCAGCATCCAAGATGTCGTTAGTAGCTGAATTATCTATCTCATAATCACACTCCGTTTAAGTTTCCTGGATGAGATAGTATGACTCGCAGACAATCAGTTTAGCTTCTCATACCAGAAGTGGTAAAAAAAGTTTTTTTACACACTCAGCTGTTCTACCATGAATTGCAATTTTTATATGATCCACTGTCTGAAATTTTCATGCATTTCCTGAGCTTTTCATGATGGTCAAGCTTTTAATATGATAGCAATTATGCAACCAGTTTTTTTGACTAAAGAAGATGGTTTCGATGGTATTTACAAACTAAAAATTTGTGCGGAAATTCTTCTTGTGACTGAAAGTAGCAGTTGCTTGAAATTTGTCATTATAATTCTGTATCTTTTTTATTTTTGATTGATGAAATAAAATGTGTTTATTAATGAATCCTGAATTTAATTTTTTTAAACTACAAATTAAAAAGAATATGAAATTAAAGTACACCACATTTACTCGTGTATTCCCCCATTTGTACTACAGTCAAAAGTTTTTATATCCGGACTCGTCGGGACTTCGGCGATTCCGGATTATCGGTTTTTCCGGATTATAGATCATCAGTTTAAATCTGGTAAGATGGCATGCAGAAATTATAAAATTAAAAATATGAAACTGTAATGTATGAAATAAAGAGCAATTATGATCTAAAGGGTATCAAAATTTACAAAAAAAAAAAAAAAAAAAAAAAAAAAAAATTAGAAAATTGCAACCAGAAAACTATTTGATGTGTATTTGTGATATTTAGAATGACGAGGAATTTTATTTAAATCATATCAAAGACGGAGTACATCGAGATGAAATATTGCATTTAGTAAGGAATTATAAGCCAAATAAAATAAAAAAATCTGGCCTGAAGATAAGGGTAGTGCTGACAGATCAACTTCCAGTTCATTGCGCGCCGCAACATTTCCTCTCCCCCCTCCGCAGAACAGCGTGAAATTGATAAACAGATTTCGGAATGGTTAGAAAAACAGAGGATATGCCTTTATCCATTGTTTGCAGCAATTCCACTTTTTGTTTGATGGACATCGAAACGTGCTTTCGCTTTGTAGATCCTTTGGCAGCTCCAGAATCGAAAATTCTTTATGACATAATCGAAAGTTCAAGCTTACTTTTATAAAATTGCTCTAACAGTCTGCCAAAAATAATAAGCCGGATCCAATTAGAAGATTAAGGAACAACACAATCTGCAACATTAACATGAAATAGATAATTTTAGCTTAGCTTATACTATCTGTTATACATTAAACGTGCACGCATAAACGTATTATGCGAATTCGTAAACGCATATGTGTATGCGTAAAGGTATGATGCACATGCGTAAAACACATATGCGCATGCAATTCGTTTGACGCATGCACAGAAAGTTTGTAGCTTTGAGGTCCGGATTATAGATCATTCCGGTTTATGGACGTCCGGATTAAAGACTTTTGACTGTACTACTATTTTACTGCTTGAAAACAGGGAGAGGAAAATATGCAGAAATGCTATTTCAGAAGAGACAGTTTAAATGATAAGCAAAGCATATTTAAAACATGCCTATAAAGACACATTAATATATTATTATGCACTTCGAAGAATATATCCATTTCAGTAATATTATTTGGTACTATTCGGTTTCAAGGTCCGTAAAAAATCGCCTAACTATTGTTAATGCCAATGCTGCCAAAAATAATTACGGCAAGAAAGGAATTATAATAGTAAATAACTATCTAAGATTGATGTTTCAATTTAGATGAAAGGTTAATTTCATATAATAACTTTTTTATATTATAATTTATATAAAAATTGCTAAACATAACTGAATGGATGCCTGCATCGCTATTTCGCTACCGACTTATTGCTAAAACATAATTTCATCTCGTTGGTTGTTTAAACATAATTTTCTATAATGAATGGTGCCTTTTCTTTGATAATATTCTCGGTAAAGTGCAGAATCGCTCATTTATTTGTTTGCCCCTTTTAAAGGCAATAACTGTGTATTCATTAAGTAACTGGTCTCTTTCATTTATTTGTTGTAATTTCAATTTTTATGTAGCTCTTAAATGTATTTTAGGTACTTACGTATTAACGCAACCAGGCCAAAATTCGCATAAATCGCCAAATTTGGCGACCCTACTTACGACAACCCTACGTGTTATACGTAGTTTTTTGTAAAGAAATTATTTTTCTTACTGGTTAGATTGAATGCTCTGAAACACTTTAACTATGGGTATTTAGGATCTGCCCTGCGAGTGAAAAAGGATGCTGTTGAATTGTTGCAGGGATATGGAATTATACCGAACGAACGTACTTGTAAAAATTCTCATAAAATGAAACTGTCATCATCTTGGAAACTCAATACCTTATCGAAATTTATATGGCGCCAAGAGTGCAATCAAGCAGTTGGGTAATGACGAAGACCGGTTTTCAATCAGTGTTTAAAAGCAATAGCCAAAAGATTTCCGCTGAAAAAAATAATTCTGCAACTTATTCAAATTCGAAACCGGAAGGGTTTAATTGCTATTTTATATTTTAAAACAAAATAATATAAAAAACTGTATTAAAAAATTATCTGCAATTAATAAATGTACATTTTCTTTCTATTCATACTTTTTTACTCAAACTTACAAATCGTGCGAACCTGGTTGCGATAATATGTAAGTACCGTATTTTATATTATTCATTAGTTTCATTTTGCACTTAAATTTTTAAATTTTTCAAAATTAATTTTGTAGGATTTATGTCTGATCCTCATGAATTGCCTGGTCTGGCTCATTTTTGTGAACATATGTTGTTTCTTGGAACAAAAAAGGTATTTTTTTCATGTTGAAACCCATTGATGATGTATGTGGGTTGATATTTTTAAAATTGTGATTTTGTTTCCCCTGTATTGCTCTAAGTTGTGACTTCTTTGTTATTTCCTGCACTTCTAATATGCATTTCAGGTAGTCCTTGACTTAAGAATAAGATTGAAAGCTCTCTAATTTAAGTTTATATGCATTGTTTTTATATTTGAAGTGCAATGTGTTTTAAGATGTCAATGTGCCAAAAATGGGCTGTGACCTTTGCCGATGATAATTATTTTTCCGTATTTGCTTGTTGTGGTTTGTAATAGAATACTTTGAATGTGTAAAATATATACAAAAAGTTATGATATGGGTTGTGTGATTTTTGCAAAAACTATTACATTGGTTAATGTATTCAGAATACTGGCACTTCATAGAAAGATGTCTCAGAAGAATGCTTCTGAGGTATTTGGAAAATGTTGCTGCTATAGTAAATGCTGAGAGAGTACATGTCCGATATCTTGGAACAAATTAGAAGAAAAGTGAATGAAATACTTGGATGATGAAATGATTGACACAACGGCTTTCACAATGAAACTATTACACTATGTGAAGGGAAAACAAGGGGGCATGAGCTACTCAGAATGCATAGCTGGAGCTGGCCACAAGCAAACTGTATAAGGCGCAGCCGTCTGTTTCGGAATCATCATTGAGAGCGTGGAGAGCAATGATGGAAGGTGATTATCACGGTCAGTGTTGAACAGCAAGGTTCCTATGGAAGGAAGGGATACAGGGTAGTGAGATCCATTGTCACATGGTGTCCATGTGTGGGAACAAAGCACCCTCAAGGTGTACCATATCCCATTGGTTGCCTAAGTTCAGCAGTGGAGTGGAAACCACAGCTAAAAGTGTTAGTGCGGGATGACCAGCAACATCGCATACAGCAGCAAATGTGGCAGCCCTGTAGGATTTGATAATGGTGAACAGGCATGTAACATTCAACAAGATGCAGGAAGATACTGGACTTGTGCAAGGAGCATTGCAGGCGATTGTGCATGATAATTTGGAGGCAAATGTGTGTGCAAAGTGGGTGGACCTCGGAGTACGCCTTGCTTGACAACATGAAGAATGTAGTCAGGGGCCAACATGTTGAATCTTCTGCCGAATTGCATGCAGTTAGTTGTCCATAGGTGATGCACCAACACCCCACAGACTGGTTTACCAAAGCCCTTCGGGACCTCCCTGCCAGATGGCAGAAGTATAATGACATGGGCAGGGATTGTTTCTGATGTACTATCAGTTTTTTTTTCTTAATAAATTGTATTCCGCTCTGTGCCAGCTTTTGTGTCATTCATTTCTCTACGACTTAAATAGCATATATAGTAGATCTAAATATCTATATGGAGGAGATAGAAGAATTAATGGATCATGAAGAAGTTGAAATGACTGATAAAGGAATTGATTCATTGCCAAATTGGAGTAACTGGAGACAAAGAAAGGAATGATGAGGAAGATGAAAAAGAGAAACCTTCAAAACAATTTACTACAAAAGTATTATCTAAAACATTTAATTGAACTTAGAACTTAAGCTGCTGGAAAATATGTATCAAAATATTGTTGACAAAAACTAAAAGGCAGATTTTAGAAGCCATTGAATATTATTGCAAAATGTATGAAGGGGGATGCAAAAGGGGGGGGGTACCAACAGAATTTTCAGATTAAAGACACTCATTCCCTGTAATAATGAACCATCTAAATAAGTAACAATTACTCTCATACTGTTTATATAACTTAAAACATCATTTGTATGCCTTTTGTGCTTGTTAACTAATTTAAAGAAAGTATGTATAAATTTTATAAAATATGCACGTTTAAGCCCATTTTATATTAAAAAACCCTAATTAATAGAAATAATATTGAAGATAACAAGAATATATTAAGACCATGACATATGTCAGAGTTAACTTAACGGTATAACCTTAGAAAAGACATTCATAAGTGGAGGACTACCTGTATTTTTTTTTTTTTTTTCCGTAAAATAGTACTTTTTTCTCCATCATTGCAGGTTAATTGGTTTTTATTTATTTTTCAGTATCCAACTGTAAATGAATACAACAAGGTAAGAACCATTATTCTTTGCTCTTAAGAAAATGACTAAATATAATAGTTTGCAGTGAGCTATGTAATATGTATTGGAATGTTTGGAACTTTTATTTTTTTGTTTCAGATAAATGCAGTAAATTGGAATTTATTTGTTCATCTCATAAGCATTTTCCTATGAAACTTTTTCAGTTATTATTTTGTTATAACCTCTTTGTGTTCTGCTTATGTGAAATCTAGTACACAGTATATGATGTAAATTTTCTTAGCAGTACTTGACAATTGACATTAAGTTGAAATAGCAGAAATGACTTTTTTCAGAAATACAAATTATAATAGCTGCAGGAAAGTAAGTTATTGCTATCAAATTGCACCATCATCAGTTTTAAGCTCATTTGTTCAGTCACTACTACAGTACAAAGTCCATAATCCGGAATGATCTATAATCCAGACCTCAAAGCCACAAACTTACGCATGCGCGTAAAGCATTTACCCATGCGCGCTTTCGATAGAAAGTGACAGAGAAGTTATTGAAAGCGAAAAAATTTCGATTGACAAGTTAGTCGGTATTCTCGACACAGCAATTACAGGACATAAACAGTGGAACTTTGTAACTGAACAAGAAATTGTCTGTTTATAAAATTAAAGAGAAAGTATTAGCATAAAAAACGAAGCAACTTAAACAACTGACATTGAAAGAAATGTTTAATAAGTTAAACAAATAAATATTAAGCTTTTTTTTTTAAAATTTTGTTACATCATAATTGCTCTTTATTTCATAAATTACGGTTTCATATTTTTAATTGTATAATTTCTGCATGCCATCTTACCAGATTTAAATTGATGATCTATAATCCGGAAAAACCCTAATCCGGAATCGCCAAAGTCCCGACGAGTCAGGATAATGGACTTTGTACTGTAATCAGTAGCGTATGGTTTTAACCATTTGATATTTCTTTAGTGCTAATGGAATTTTTAGTTGTACAATAAAAAGTATTAATCTTTTAATGCTAATTAAAAAACTATGTTGAAAAGGCAGTAAAGTTTGATCTTTAATTGATGACTTATTTTTTTGTCAGCCAGAATCTATATGAATGACATCATTTTCACCTCCTTTTATTGCACCATGTCTGGTTGCTGTCCTTCTAGAATGAATATCCAGATATATGAGATGGAACAGAAGTTTGCTATTGGAACATGACCTTGTGGTAAATTTAATTTCTTCTGACTTTAATGCCATTTTTAAGCAAAATCCCTTTCTGCAATTGCTGGTTTAGTCCATCATATTATCACATATGATTGATTCTATTACGAATGGACTATGTTGAAGAACATCCACTTTCTGCAGTAGGATAGGACAGAGTTGTAGTTATGTAAAACACGTGCATAAAACTGGCTGTGAAATAAGAGAAGCCTCTGAAGTCAAGGTCGCATCGTAATAGAGAACTTCCTTTCAATTTCCCATAAATATGGATAGTCATTTTTAAAAATGTACCAACCCTACCTGCAACTGCCATAAAAGGAGGTGATCATGAGAAGGTCATTTGCTTGAATTCTGCCTGAAGGAATAGACTGTTTATCTGCAAAAGCCCTATAGTGCAATCTCAGCATAATTATGCATGTGAATCGGGATTATTTCATTATGTATTTATACAAATATTTTATTAACATGTAAAAGTATCAATGAATTAATGTAAATTTTCATTACGTATTTATACAAATATTTTATTGACATGTAAAAGAACCTATGAATTTAAGTATTCTTTATTGACCTCCATATTATTATTATTATTATTATTATTTTGTGGCTAGAAATATTTTGCTTGTACTTGATTATAAAGTTGTGGTGAATTTTTGTAGTAATTTTAAGCAATAAAAAAGTGTCTGAAGCAGCTTTCTCACTACTTCGGAGAAGTTAAAATTATTCCGTATGTGAAGAAACTGCTGTTAATGGAACTGTGTAATGATGGTTCTTTTATCAAATTAAAGATATAAGGTATTTCTCCTGCCTTTCTAGCGTGCCTTCGTGGTGTAGTGGATTTGCATGCTGGGCCAGTATTCCAGAGGTCCGTGGTTCGATTCCTGGCAAAGGCGTTGCTCATTTTTCATCTCTCTTGCTTCCAAAAAGTCCTAATATCTCTACAGTGGCACCTCAACTAAAAGGGTGTTGGATGAGGATTCTCCACACCCAGGATTTGCCGAATGGGTCCTCTAAAAACCGCCGTCTCCCTTTAAAAGGGGGAGTATATAAGGCATTTCTCCTGCCTCCCAAGCACGCCTTCATGGTGTAGTGGTTCTGCATGCTGGACGGTATTCCAGAGGTCCATGGTTCGATTCCCGGAGAAGGCATTGCTCATTTTTCATCTCTCTTGCTTCCAAAAAAGAAATCCTAATATTCTCTACAAAGATGTTCATAAAATAGCTTGCTTTCCCCCCTGCTTATGCATGTAAATGTTGAAAGTTCTTAAATGCTTTACTCTCTTGGCAGTCTTTTATCTTAAAAATGTTACCATTTTTTTAAATCACTGCTGTTTGGAATGAAGTGAATTTTCAGATTTGTTTATCTCCAGAGCTGATGGCCAGATTTTTATGAAATTTGGAATGGACATAAGTATAATGCATCTCAATGCGTTACAATCATTCATGTGTACCATACAACAGTCATTGTAAGTACTGTTGTATGGTATATGTAAATAATTTTCATGAGTTTTATTGGCACAATAATGTCTGAAATAGAGGTTGCAAGATAAAAAAAGGGGGAGGCTTACTTTTAACAGTCATACAGCAATCGTGTGACTTCATGCTGGAAATCAGGCAGCTAATGAGTTTCTGTGACACTCAGTCCCACTCCTGCAACAGCATTGCTTTCAGGCCCGAGCAGGTTCTCAGAAAGGGAAAGTAAGTAGCCACTGTTCTTTCAAGAATATCATATAAATGTTCTGGAGGATTTAGGTTGAGATATCTGACTGACCAGTCTATCTGGTTAATATTCTAGCTTTCCATAAAATCATCCATCAGATTAATTATCAATAAAAATTAACTGAGGGCCAACTGCACACCTGAAAAGATGAATATAGGGCTCTAAGATCTCATTCCCCCCCAAGAGTTGCTGTTTCCATCCTGTTCACTTCTGTGCACAAGAGAGTTTGTACAGCATGGTGGAGATACTCTGAACCATGCATTAGTTGGAGACAATTCTCTTTTCAGTTTACTGTGATAGCATGGTGAAGATACTTTGAACGATGCATCAGTGAGAGACCATTATCTTTTCAATTTACTGTCGTTCACTATGAATGTTAGAGAGGACCATATCCCTCACTCCTTCCTTTTTTGTTTAATCTTACAACCTTTGTTTTAGACCCTCCTGAATTAATGAGCCTTATGTACAATAACATATACCAAACTGTTGTATGATAAATTTTTTTGTAGTACATCAACCTAATAATCTGTTAGTCAGTTCTCAAGAAAATCATCCAAATGTGAAAATTATCTTGAGTGCCAGTGTCCACTGTCCTCCAAAAGTTAAGGAACAGCATTTTTTTTTTTTTTTTGTGTCTAATTGTAGAATGAAACAACATAGAGAAATTTACAGGATATGTTCACTAAACAGTTCTTTAATGAATGTGACATAAAATGTTTCTAAAGTTCGACACAAACATGAATTACAAGAAAAAAATGCACTCTTGGCAGAGAAATCCAGTCTTTGAGAAACAGTATATCATAATTTTTTGAGGGAAAATGGATTCTAATAAAGCATGTGTCCACCTCTATCTGCAATACATTGATGGCAGCGATGTTCCATGCCATCAATTAAGTTGTCAGTTAGTAAAATGGGAAGCAGCGACCAGACATGAAGTAATCCATGTTCAAGCTCATCTAACAACCTTAGAGGAGGACTTAAAGCAGCACCTGTCTCCCAAGGTAGTCTCAAAGATGCTCTGTAGGATTTAGGTCTGCGAATTGAGCTGGCTATTCCATCTGCTCCATACTGTGACCCTCTAGATATTTAGCATGTTGTCGTCCATCAGAAGAAATTCAGGACCAATAGCAGTGGCATATGGGTGGACATATTGATCAGGGATTTCGCTGCAATATCTCACGCCGGTCAAAGTTCCTCCATGGAACACTTGCAGGTAAGTGTAACCATCGAGAGATCCCAGCCCAAAACATTATTCCACCACCTCTGTAACTGTGTCTTTCCAGAATGTGGGATTGGTTGTATCTTGTTTGTTGTTCCCTCCAAGTCAGCTGACAACCTGAATCATTCTCCAGTGTGAACCTGGACTCATCTGTGAAGAGATCAGACACCCATTGTTGACTGGTCCAGGAGACATGTTCTCTTGCCCAACATATATGGGCCCCTCTGTGTCCTCAGGTCAAGGGGACACAAACAATTAGTCATCTTGCATCAAGACTTGTATTGTGCAGGTGTCTGTGCTACGTAGTAGCTAAGATTCTTGTTCCGGTTGCCACTAAATGATCTGCCATAAGCTGAGGCACAGTAATGTTACTTTTCCTTCGGGCTGAAAGAGCTAAATAACGGTCTCCCGCAGGTGTTGTAACTCTAGGTCTGCCTGGAAGTCTTCTAGACACAGAATCCTCTAGCAGTCTAGCAGCATCAGCTTGTGACATCTCCATATCCCATCCTGATTGTCTGCCACCTCATCAAATTGGGCAAATGATTTTTCCTGGACATTGTCCACCAAACTGTAATAGCAACTGAAGATAAACACTTGTGAACAAAAATTACAATTTTTGCATTTTTCCTTTAGCTCCTATATAAGTATTCATTTCTATAAAGTAAAAGTTGTAGCTAATTTTTTGGCATATATTTTCTTAAACTTCGTTACTGTCATGCATATGAACTGTGAATTTAAACGTTACTGACATTTTTGTAAGGGTTAGCTTTGAAAAACATGCTATTCCTTAACTTTTGGAAGGCAGTGCATAAGACAAAACTGAAAATGATGCTATCATATTTGTTGTCATCAAGTCAGCATTTTATCATGCTGCCAGTGATATCTTAAGCATTATATTTGTGCTTTGATTTGGTCATTAAGATGTTGTCATATTATATAATATATTGTTGACTGTTACAGATGTACTGTCAGAAATTGTTTACAGGTTAAAATTTTCAGTATACATTTTGTATAAATTTAAGAATTTAATTGTGGATCTGAAAATATTCCAGTATTTGTATCTTTTTTTTTTTTTTCTTTTTTTTTTTTAAATGTTATGTAGTTCGTGCATGAACATGGTGGTGGTAGCAATGCATATACAGCTGCTGATAATTCCTGTTACTATTTTGATGTTTCTGCAGAGTACCTGAAGGATGCTTTAGACAGGTAATCATGGTGTTACTAAAATTTCTGGATTTTTTTTTTTAAATCTGAATTTGTTAATTTTATTTTATATACTTTATTTTATTTATTTATTGCATTCTCTTGCAATAAAGTGTAAAGCTTTCATTTTAAAGTGAAAAAGTTATATTTTAAATTTTGTTGTAAAATATATGCGGTATTAAATTAAGCCTGAAAATAGCATCATATATTGTATATTAGCTGGATATCTTGAAAGTATTATATGGCAAAGATAATTAAATAGTCTAAATACTGTACATTAAAACTAAATTAATGCATTTTCTTGTAATGTAAAATTTAAAGATAGGTGATAAAGTATTTTGACATTTTTTAAACATTTTGCAGGACAGATAGGTGTATTTATTTCAGAATAGTATTTTAAGAGAGAAAACATATAGGTATATTTATTTCAGAATAGTATTTTAAGAGAGAAAACATCGTATATTGGGGCTATGGTAGACAATGATTTTGGGAGCATTTAACTGTTTAAAGTGGTATAGAGATATGATGTTATTGAAGTTTTGATTCAATCTGTAGTATAAAATCCTTGCATGCAACATACCAGCCATTCTGCAGATGATTTGGGAAGTTTGAAATTTTAAAAAATTTTATATTTGATTAAAATATAAGAAACATGAGAATATTGATAGTTATAGGGCAATAGAAGTACAGTAAAAGCTCAACTATCTGGCATTCAGCTTACCTCAGGTAACCATAAAATTGTTTAATTTCAATTTTTTAAAACTTTTTTTCAGAAAAGTTAAGAAAATGGGAAACTTTTTAAAGTCATTATAGAGCATATGCAGGTCTCTAGAAACCCCGATCACTTTTAAAACATTAATAGAATTGCATCTTTCCCCACCATACTGCTTTGTTTCCGTTTGTGGAATAGGCCACAGCCAACAGTAGAAACTGTAGTAGTTCATTTTGTTCGCCCTGATACTTCTCATAAAAAGAAAAGTGAGGAGTTACTATGCAGCAGGGTTCCCAATAGAAATACATTGTTACCTTGGCAAAGGAATGCACGAGATTCCAAACTGTGTCGAGAGATATTCTTGTTTCATGGGGAAATGGTGTATACACCTGGGCCGAAGGCCCTACCCTTATCGAAAAAAAAAATAAAATTACTAATTATGTGTGCATTAACACAAAGAAAATTTCTAAAACAATTGAGCTATATGAAGAGGTTTAAGTAACTTGAAATATTAAATTGACACTGCTCCTGTCAAACAAAATACAAAATATAACAAGATACAAAATATGTCCATATGTAAAAGGAGATATATACATAAAACAAAACGTATATTTTCAATATATAATACAAGTGCTGAATAATAATGCAAGTAACAGTAAGAAAATATCAGTCAGTATTTACATTAAGTATGGCCATAGGGCGTTTGCAGTTAGCAGGATCATTAATGTCGTAATTACATATTTTAATGGCAGGGTTTTGAATATTTTTTGGCTTTTGAAAAAATTCCTTGCTAATTTGTAATGTATTCTTGTGGTAGGCAAACAGAGTCAAGGTTGCTGCATAGGGTGGAATTTGGAAGTGCCTGTGACACATGTGTTCTAACTGAAATTGTTTTCACCTGTTTCAGTAATATCTATTCCAATCGTTTGTTAATAAGTTTGAATGCCATATAGGGAACAATTTTAAGCATTAGAGACCTTAGTGTGACAGGAACTTAATCTCGTATGTGTTTTTACTTATTTATCGGTCTACTGACTTGAAAATTTTTGCTGGAACTTGTATAATGGAAAATTCTTCAGCATTTAAAAAATGAAAGCGCATTGTTACTAAAAAAAAAATAGAAATAAGTAACTACTTTAAAGAAGTTGGAAACATGCAGAATTTAATGAGAGACTTTTAACATCTGATTATCTACAGTTAATGGTATTAAATCTCAAAAAGAAAAATTGAGGAATTTTCCTCCTGTATAGATACAAGCAAAGCTTCCAATGAAAGGAAAACTGCAGCAACCTGAAAATAGAAATTTGGGTGTGGTATTCAGTTTTACCTAAAGTGCTGCATGAGTGAGTTGTATTGAAAAGAGGAGTTCTGTTTCTGGGCTGACACTTATTCAAAATTCAATATATTTTCTTGAAAAGCTAAATGTTGGGAACGATTGCAAATTTTCGGATGGATAGTTTGCTTATTTTAAAAAACCTCATGGAATTTGCAAGCTCGATATATCTGGTGAAATACTTTCTGACGACAGGGAATGTGCTGCTTTTTTTGAAGACTTTGCAGTGTAGCATAGAAAAGTATTTAATGCAGACAAAATGGGTCTTTTATTTTGATGTCTTCCCATTTCAATATTAGTAGGTGCTAATGAAGTATCTGCTTGCAATTTCAAAATACGGATAGATTGAGAATTTTAATTTGTGCAAATGCAACTGGATACCACAGACTAAAATTGTTTGTGATTAGAAAATCCAAATATCCTTGAGTAATGGCAGGTATCAAGTATCATCTTGTGGCATACAAATATCAAAAGAATGCTTGGATGGATAAGGATACCTTTTTTGACTGGTTCAAAAGCATTTTCATGTTATTTGTTTTGAGTAGGTTGAAATGTAAAATAAAACCCAAAGACCAGGTTGTTTTACTGATTGATTACTGCTGAATGCACCCTCACAAAGAGAACCTATATTACAGGAACATCAGAACTATGTAATCTCCCGTAGCTTAACTCCTTTGATCCAGCTAGTAGATTAAGGAATTATCCCAAAACTTAAGAATGAGTTATCGAAAAAATTTTATCAGCAAACTGTGAGTACTGAAACAGAAATTTTAATAAACAGAAAATTCCCTGATAAAATTTCAGTCAGCATCTTCAATAAAGAATGCCATTTACGGGTTTGTGAATGCTTGGAATTCCATTACAAATCGAATTAATGAAAGATAGTAGAATATTTTATTTTCAGTTAACTTTTATCTAGATTCATCTAATGAGGAATTTGACAGTTATAAAACAGGATAACAAGGGCTAACAAAAGTATTAAAAATCTTAAGAAACAGAAACGAAGCAGAAAAATCTGTTTCTAGGCTTGAAATAGCTGAAATACAGACATGATTTGATTGCGACAAAAATTTACCCATAACGGGAATGTTACATTGAATACAAGAGGATTTAATTCAGAATGCATTGTTGCAGGAAGAAACAAATTCTGATGCATCAGAACCTGAAGATGAAATAAAAAAAAAAAAACTCTTGAGGTGATACAGAGAAAGGTCATTTGACATTTTTGCAGTTTTGCGTGAAAGACTTAATACACAAAAGATGAACTTTTGAAAGTGCATCTAACTAGAGAGAGATTTGTGCAGAAAAAAAGAAATCTTTGTTGAAACAGACAGACATTTGCTATTTATCCAACTGCATCAGAATAATGTTAATTTGTTAAAGGTTTAAGAATTTTGTTTATTCTGAAAAAATTTAAAACAAAAATACTTCTCAGTCCTATTAAATTCATTTTGATCCAAAGTCTTACTGTTATTTGAAAAAGTTTTATATTCAATGTGTTTCACCATTAACCATTTTTGACAAAGTAGAGCTGTAGCCAAATAGTATGATTTGGCAGCAGTAATGTGTAATGTCACAACACAGTCATACAATCTTGGTTTTATGTAAACCAGATAAATTCTTGATAAGCCATCCTCACAGTTTGAAAAAATGGTAAAAATTTAAGGTCTCTATTCTGTAGAACAAACAGCATGGAGCATTTTCAAAGTTAGCAGTGATAATTGGAAAATGTATTTTAATTGCCACGATTTGTAGCTTTATTTGAAAATGACTAAACAATGGCGATGCTAAGTGCAGAATTATATACATGATTAAAGTTTTTTTATATATCCATAACTTGAATCATATAATTCTAATTAAATAAAAAACAATCTTTCCTTTAAATTTTTACTGGTATGACTGGTGCAAATTTGCAGCATCAAAGCCAGTTTTCATGGTCGATGATATTTTATAGTCTAATAAACAGGTTTTAATTTCATATGCTGAAAGCTTACAGAATACGTTGGATTTTTACGTACAAAGTAATTTTTTCCGAAATCTTACATAATTTTAACTATAGGCGTTAGATATTCAAGCTGATAACAAATAAGATGACAGTTTTTATAATTTTAGACCTGAAATTTCTTTCTCCCTTTTCTACATGAATTGTATTTTGTGCACCCTCAACTATCTGGAAATTTCACTTATTTGGAATTACGCATTTCCTGAGCATTCTGGTTTGTTGAACTTCTGCTGTATTTGTAAATCTATTTAGGTAATGACAAACTGTTCATTGGTGAATGATTTTAGAAAATGTTGAAACATATGTTATAAGTCCCAAACAAGTGACAGCATCATGGTGTATTATAAGTCTATAAATTAAACACATAGTTCGGGGATTGTGCAAACAAAATTATAATTAAAAATGATAATTTTAATGCATTTTGCTGTTACTAATTAATTGCTTAATGACTGAATATATATTAAAAATTATGCCTAAACTCCCTGAATTTTTATAACATTTTTATTATCTACAAATGTAGCTTTGTAAGGTGTAAAAAAAAAGTTTTTTCGAGGGAAAAACAAGATATTTATTATGGTTCACGACATTATCAAGCTTCAGTGAAGCTGCTGAAAAAAAAAAAAAAAAAACACAATCTAGCCAAAAGTAATACAAAACTGTAGTCAAGGTAATAAGAGCTAAAGTAAAAATCAAGTAAATAAATTTTATTATCCAGAAATGTCATTGACAGTATGCTACAGTCTGAAACATGGTGTAACTCATAGTGTCACATCACAGTCTGCAACAGCATGATAATCTGGTAATCTGCATCGACTAACAAAACAAATTTGCACAAGAAAAAATTTGGTGTAGCACCTGGGTGCCTGGGCCTACCCCTAATCAAAACACTGAATTTACAGCTCATTTATAATCCACTTGGACCCCTCTCACAGCTAAGAAAACATGTGCATGGCAGAGTGTTGCCTGCCACGTGATATTACAGACGATGGCATTAAATATCTGTAAATTTTCAGCGCCCAAGTTAACTCGTTGATAGGAAAATCGAAACGACATCTATTCCCGAGATATCCCAGGCACAGTCGTTAAGCAGCTAAGCCAGTTCTAATTTAAGTTAGCTTATGAAATATGTTGTTGCACCATGTGCACAAAAGTTCTTATATGGCCTTTATTTTCACAACTGTTGGTTGTAGATTTATATTTGAAGTTATAAAAATGTCTTAAATAAAGAAAATATATATTGTAATATTTTATGATGTACTCTTCACTTTTGATACTGTTTTCTAGTTCCCATAGTTATATTAACAAAATTTATATATATTTCAATCTGTATTTATTTAAGAATTAGTTATATAGATTTTGTAATATTAATTATTTTTATGATTTATTCAGGTTTGCTCAATTTTTTTTGTGCCCATTATTTACTGAAACTGCTACAGACAAAGAAGTAAATGCTGTGAATTCTGAACATGAAAAGAATAAACAAAGTGATACGTGGAGGTTGTCTCAGCTGGAAAAAGCTACATGTAATCCACTTCATGATTATAGCAAGTTTGGAACGGGTTAGTTGCTTTCTGTAGCTCTAATTTTATTTTGAGTAATGCAGTTAAGCTGCCGTATTCTAATAAACATGTAAAGTATTTTCTGTTAATGAAAAGGTTATTATGATTTGTGCTATTATACTATAACTACTACTTTGCATATTCCTAACCAGAATGCAAGTTTGGTTTTGGGGTATTTAAACTGAATGTTTTGAATTTTAGATTGAAGCTTCTGGCAACTGCATCTTGTAAGTTACTCTTAGAAACTCTGCTTAAAGCTACATTCCAGCTTTAGCATGTTGCTAACCAAAGCATTAAAACACACACTGCTAATTACCTGAGTGAGTTTAAGTAATCTATTTTATGTTAGACTATATTATTTGCATTTCAATTTAACTTTTTTATGTTAGTTGAAATGCCCACAAGTAGTGGAAGTTCCTCCTGTAGCACAAGTTGTGCCTGTTCTGTTCTATTTAAGACTAAATAAAATGGTTGCTTTAATCTTCATCAGTAAGTTTTTTAAGATATAGAGATAATTCACTGTCAGTCTAGTAGTCTGCAGGTTTTTAGCTTCCACTTACAGCAGAAACTTAACATTCTGAAAAATAAAACATTAGATGTTGCATATAGAAAACATATATTGCAGGATTTGAGTAGTAAATTTATCATATATATGTGTACATACTACATAAAATGTGACAGTTGAAGAATAGCAAAAATTGTCGTATATATGTACATAGTATGCAGAATGTATTAGCAATAGAATGACACTCTTTGGCTAGAACAGTTTAAAAGAAGAGCAGTGATTTTTGCTTCTCTGTATGTATATATGTGAAAGGCTATCTGCCTAAGAGGAGGGAAAGCTTCATGGAGGTCTTTCTAAGAGAACCTGCCTAATATACACATTACACATGGGAAAAACCACAAAAATGCCCATGCAGCCAGCTCAATTCTCTGAGATTCAAACTCTGAGTCAAATTACCCATGTTCAGCAGCTTTAATGCTTGGCTGCTGGTGGGCATTAACCTTTTCTAAAAGAAAGGTTTTCTTCATTGACCCCCTTACATTTTTCTCCATAATATACATACATAATATACAGTAATCATAATACAATTATATAGAATGATATGATCAAATAACTGCACACAAATAACTAAGTTAACAATTTATTATACTAAGAATATAAAAAATGTTTTTTTTTACATTTATGTGCAATTATTGTGTTAGTATTATTTTATTTATTTTACAAATGTAAAGTTTTCCGTAAAAAAGGTCAGATTCTGATTGCATAAATGTTCAATTATAATGAATGTTACGGCTGCACTGAAGTATTCATGCAGTTTTTTTTAATGTTTGACATAAAATTGATATTAATTCATAATTTGCCAAAATATTTAATTTCTTTAATGTTTTCTGCAGTCAATTAGTGACTTGACTAAAGCCTGCTTTTACTAAGAAGGTAAGAAAAGGGGAAAGTCAGTGGTGTTGGTTTGATAACACATTTATTTTGGGTGATTCCTCTCGAATGATAGGTAGGGTAAATTCAACACGGCCTACCTATGTGTTATTTTAAATTCTAATAATCAAGGTAAAACAATAAAATAGTGCTTACCTTCTCAGTGGGTTCTTATGAGGGCCACTGGGTGATGTTCCTTTGTGTGTCCTTTAAAGATTCGTTTAGACGGGAGCGTAAAGGTCATAATTGGTTAAAGCCGAGCTCCGTTGCCAAGGCAGCCAGTCTGTGCAACGTCACAAAATCTGGTTTAGGGCTCGTGGCATAGGGTTCAAAGTTTTCAACTTTACACCGAGTTTGGGATAAGCGTCGACCAATCAGAGCGTTCTACAGAAGATTTTGCTGTCACAAAACAAGCAGAGGGAATGCGGGAAATCAATCGAGCAGGAGAACAGCACGGGAAATTTGTAGACACATCCCCGCATGCGCAAATTTAGCTTCTCTTAAGCCCCGTTCACAAGAGCAGATTCGACCGGTAGCGAAAACCGGTTCTTCCAACGTGTCCCGTTCACATGGGACAAGCATTAACTGCCTCGCCAAATTGGAGGTAGAACTTGGTTGAATGTTCCTTACCTCTCGGGAGCAGGGCAAATGGGGAGATTTCCCGTACTATACTGCGCGGTTCACTTAATTTTAGTTACTGCTCGCTGGACTGTCAGCGAAACAATCGCGCTGATAGATGTCTGGGGATGTGATAGCATACCCCTGAAAATTAGATAGACCTGTACAAGATACACAAATTATAGACAAATACAGACAAGGTTATCTGGTGCTAGGTGTTCCAGAAATATCGTTCAAATTAAAACTAAAGTTAAGACAAGTGCATATCGGCTTCAACGCGACAAGGGACTCGGTACCTTTTGAATGATTTTTTTTTTTTTTTAATTTAAGCATTTTCGTCTACTTTTTATGAATATTATTAAATGGTTTAGTGAGACAAAATAATTTTAATCTGAAAAAAGTTTTTGCTAGTATTTTTTTAATTTAATTTTTTGAAGAAAAAACTTTTACAATTAAAATGTCTTTCTTCTCCTACAATTTTCAATGTCTCTCACCAGTTTTTATTATATTTATTAGACTTTTCTTAATAACTTCAAGGAATGATTTTGCAATTAATGAATTAGTTTCTGAGGGAAAAAAATACACTTTTATCTAAAATTTTTAAAACAAATATGATCTCAGTCACATTTCATTTCAAATAATTTTTCTTTCAGTATTTTGCAAAACCCATCCTTGTTTCTATAAAGTATATAATTAAATAAGCAATAAAAATAATAAAAAATTAGTCCATACTGTATATGTTTTAGGACTTTAAGTAAAAGGATTTATTGAAAAAAATGCAAAAATGTCTCAGTTTGCATTTGCAGTTTAAAGAATACAAACTGTCGAAATAGACATTTAATGATTTCAAATCTTTAAAATTTTATACTGAATTTCTGTACATATATATATATATATAATAAATCAAACCTATTGCTATTTATTCAATTGGTAAATATAAACATAAATTACAAATTTTTTTTTAAAAACTTATGTGGCCAGAAAAATTGCACAAACTCATAAAACGCAAGCAGAATTTTTCTTTACCTTTTTTTTTTTTTTTTTTTTTTGTAAAACACGTTCAAAACATATTAATACATTATTAATTATAGTATTGTTGCGTGCGTACGGGTTTGTAATAGATTGATAATAGATCGTAAATGATTGTCATTGCTTTCAAATCCGATGATAGCTTAATTAAATTTATTTTATCAACAGAAACACTTCAAAGTTCTGGAATTTTCCACAGAAATACTCGTACAAGTGTTTAGAATATCACTAAGTATAATAAGTAGTTATGTTTAAATCTAATAAGAACGTTAAACACAACGGAATGCAAAAAGGATCTTAAGAGAAAGTTAACTCAGAAATATCTCCGATCTCACGCTGAACTAACAACTGGCAACAATAACAGCTTATATAATATAAATAATGTCGTAAAAATAGTGTGGTATAATGAAATCATTACTTTGAAACCGATGTTTTGAATTCATGCCCAAGAAGAACCAATATTTCTCATTCTGCTTCATTGCATAGCTTTTAAAATGTAAAACAATTATCAAATTAATTTCCTTTATCGTTTTTTTAAATGCGAAAAGTTTGTTTTATAAGTTGCGAAAATGTTGGAAGTTTGTAACCGAGATATTTTTAGATATGAAATTTTAAAATTAATGGGCGTCAAGCAGTCCAAAAATATGAACGATTTTAAAAAATTCTCCCAAAATATTTTTTAAAAAAAATTCCTACAAATTCATTAATTTTTTTTTCTCCACAGAGTGTTATGGTGCAAACTATAAATTCTGAGATTCTCAGTTTTTGGGAATTATTGCAAAAATCGTTTCAACTTTAAATTTGAAAAAAAATCTAATCCTCTAAAATCAAAAGTGTGACACCACATCCACAAGCAGTGTATGTACAAAATTGATTCTATATCTTATCGGAAAGCAGTTTAAAAATCCATGATCATCTTTTAAAAATAGCGACAAGTACCAGATGTGAACTAAATAACAGCTTATAAAATAATAATAATAATAATAAAAAGCATATATTTTCAGGAACCATTACGAAAGTTCAGGTACCAGTTGCGAAAGTCCAGATTACAAAATTAACACAGTAAACAACGTTAAAAATGTGTAAACAGTATTAGAAATCTGCCAATTCGGAGACGTGATTGTTCACAGAGGCTTAGGTGTAAAGGGGAAGGAAGACGGTGGTCTTCTGAACGGGTCCTAAAGACGAAACTCTTTCATGTCTCCTTTTTCTCCCCTTGCTAACGGCAGCTGTGCGAAGGAGCGTTGCATGTGAACGGGGCTTTATTGGCCATGGCTTACACCCCGTTCTCGCAAGTGTGAACGGAATTCCCGTATTTTATGCCCTTATGACTACGCCTCTATGCCCTTTAGGCCACAGTCTGAACACAGCCTAAGAGTTATTAATCCCAATGGTCAATATATTTTTGCACAAAAAAAAAAAAAAAAGGGATTTTAAGATGTAGGAAAAAACAGACTTAATATTAACGAATACATGGAATGTGTAAGTAAAGTTTTAAAATCTAACACAAGCAATGTGCGAGTTTCTCTTTTGGAGATCTCGAGCGATCTGGCCCATGAATTCATAATTCATCATAATGACGTTACGCAGCAACATTGGTTCGCATCAGCGGTTGAATTGCAACATCCGCCCCAAAAGGACAATTGCTGGAATTGTCCTTACTACATTCTAGTTCTATTGGATACAATAGTTGTACTGGTCTTTTAATTACATGACTCTTAATCAAACGAACAGCACTGGCTCTCGCTTTGTCATCTCTTCCTGGAAAGATCTCTGGTACCCATGTTCCACATCAACCTTGGAATTTCATCTTCATGTACTAACACAGCATTTCCTTGTTTCAAACATGTGTCCGTTTTTGCCAGTTTGGAATCATGAGCAAATTTTAATTCATCAAATAATCCTGTCTCCATTTTTT